TGGTTCTGGTTCTGATGGAGGTTTCTGGTTGTTTAAAGGTGAGATTCCTCGTTTATGCTCAGGACGGTGGATTACATCAGAGAGACGGGTCAGAGCAATCTGCTGGATTCCCTTTTTTTTTTTTAACTGGCTCAGACAGAATCAGACAGTTAGATCTTCAAAAACTGGAATTTATTGGATTGTGATTGGATTACAAGCTTGTTTCTAATTGGTTTCTAATAGTGACGGCCATAGATTTGATGATTTCCTTGTTCTTATTTGCTTCTCTGAGGTTGAACTCGTAGTTGAAAACGTGCACATTTCTGGTTTCAAAACAGGTATTTTTACATGCAAACAGGAACCTTTGTTTAGGTCGTTTTTCTGTCCTCATTCTGAACAGACTTCTGTTTTCCACAGGCCTTTGTGGGATGGTGGCCCACATGATGTTTACCACCTCCTTCCATCTGGCTGTGTCCATAGGGCCGGAGGACTGGAGGCCCAAGACCTGGGACTACAGCTGGTCCTATGCGTAAGCACTTTTAAATGTCTTCTGAGAAACAAAATCTGCCAAACCAGCTGGTAGTTTGTGTCCAAACTGGGTTCGAATCTCAAGGAAAACAGCGATTGTGTTCACTCTTGTTTTGATCTGTGTTGTTATTGTAAATACGTGAGGATTTGTCACAATTTTTACAGACTTGAACTGCGTTCAAACTAGGGTTGTCAAAAGTATCGATACTCGAAAAAGTATCGATACTAAAATGTTGTATCCGGATACGATACTCATTTTCAAAAGTATCGATACCGCTCTCTGATTTATTCATGCATTTATTTATGTTGTTTATGATCATTAACAAGACGTTAGCCTTGAACTGCTAGCTGCGGCTAATGGCTAATAATAACATGCCAACATTAATCAAGTACATATCCGACTCCGCCCACATCCAAGTCGGACATTTGGATTACATCACCAATAGGAAGATCCCAGGCAAGAAAATCGTAATGGCCTCATGGCAGTATAGATATCAATTTAAAAATAGTTAAATGGATCTTTCAAACACTTAATTAAACCTTTTACATATTATGTTAAAATTGTGTATATTAAATAGGTTTGTACAATAAGTCCAAACAAGTTTAACCAAAAAATATTTATTTCTCACAATTATGAAAGGTGGAGGGTTAGGGGTTAGGGTCAGGGTTAGGGTTAGGATTAGGGTTAGGGTCAGGGTTAGGGTCAGAGGCGGGGTTAGGGTCAGGGTTAGGGTTAGGATTAGGTTCATTAATGTGGGCCACCAGTCACGATAACATCAGTAACAGGTCAGTTTGAAATGAAAGACACAATTCAGTTACATTTTGGGGTCTTTGTTTTTATCCTTGTGGTATCGAGTATTTTCCTGAGTATCGGTATCGAGTTGAATATTTTAGTATCGTGACGACCCTAGTTCAAACAGAGTTCTCCTTCGATTCCCAGCTTAGCGTGGAGCTCTTTCGGCACCTGCATGGGCTCGGCGGTGACGGCGCTCAACAGGTACACGAAAACCATCATCGAGTTCAAATACAAGCGGCGGAACATCGAGAAGAGCCTGATGATCAGCCAGCAGATGCTGGAGCTGGGTCTCCCCGACCAGATGTGGGACATGTACCTGACCTCCACCCCCCCGGAGCTGCCCGTTAACGGCCAAAAGCCCCCCACGGGGTCCCCCTACGAGCTGGAAACGGACAGTGGAGCAGAGCAGCAAGTGGAGGCCTATTGTTGAAATGGAACTGGCAACCGGACCCATTCCTGCTCTGGGATTAACTCAGTTGGATTCTATTCAATTTTATTTACAGTGGGGGAAATAAGTATTTGATCCCTTGCTGATTTTGCAGGTTTGCCCACTTACAAAGAATGCTTATTTTTCCTCATCAGATGGTTATCAATTTTTATAAATTCATATGATGTGATTTTCTGGAATTTTCTTTGGGATTCTGTCTTTCACTGTTAGAATGTACATATGATTAAAGTTATAGATCGTTGCATTCTTTGTAAGTGGGCAAACCTGCAAAATCAGCAAGGGGTCAAATACTTATTTCCCCCACTGTATACAGCGCCAAATCACAAGTCAGACCAGACTCTGTGGTTATTTACAGAAGAACAACAGTTCCCACCAAGAGCAGCACTGGGCGACACACGGAAGGAAAAACTTCCTTTTAACAGGCAGAAACCTGGAGCTGAACCATGGCTCAGGGTGGGGGGGGGGGGGGGTCTGCCCCGGCCGGTGGGGGGTGTGAGAGAGAGAGAGAGAGAGAGAGAGAGAGAGAGAGAGAGAAAGAAAACGACACACAGTTACACATAGACTGGATGAAAAATGGTAAAGATATTGATACTAATGATAATGATAATGAAGTAATGATAGCAGTAAGACTATGAACAGAGGCTCTAACTGTGGCAGAGCAGGAACACACAAGTCCGTCTGGATGCAGGAAGCCGAGGATGGATATCCAACTCCGCCCACATCCAAGTCGGCCATTTTGATTAGGTCACCAACAGTAAGATCCCAGGCAAGAAAATCCTAATTGCTTCATGGCAATATAGACATTAATTTAAAAATTAGGAATTAATCTTGCAAACAATGTTATGTTAAAATAGTGTATGTTAAATAGGTTTGTACAATAAGTCCAAACAAGTTTAACCAAAAAATATATATTTCTCACAATTATGAAGGGTGGAGGGTTAGGGTTAGGGTTAGGGTTAGGGTTAGGGTTAGGGTTAGGGTCAGGGTCAGGGTCAGGGTCAGGTTTAGGGTCAGGGTTAGGGTTAGGTTTGGGGTTAGGATCAGGGTTAGGGTTAGGGTCAGGGTCAGGGTTAGGTTTAGGGTCAGGGTTAAGTTTAGGGTTAGGACATCGTTTGTCTTCCAATTTCGTATAGACAGTAAAGTTTCGTTTCCACCTCAGAAAGCTGCTAGTCACATGACATAATCAAAATGGCCGACTTGGATGTGGGAGGAGTTGGACATCCAACCGAGGCATCCTCCAGATTGCACAGCTCCAGAACCAGGAACCTCTGCAGAAAGTGAGGAAAGGGATGAGAAAGCACACGACTACGGGAAAGGGAGAGAGTCCAGTTAGTAATATCGTTAATGGAGGGAGAAAGAGAAAGGAAACATCTTTCTTAAACTTTCTCAAAGCGTCTGATCCAGGAGGAGCTTGTTTGCAGCCCCCAGCTTCTCCTCCAAACGATAATCTAACATGGTCAGCTCTCACAAACATGCCTGTAATCAGGCTGTTCGTGACTAAACGTCGTCCACATTAAGCTGTGACAGGCTGGGGATGAGCCCCTCCTGCACAGATAGGCCCTAAATATTATAATATATTCCAATATTTCTGTCAATGAGTTTTGGTTCTGTGGCTCAATGCAAATTTAGCCCTCTCAGGTCAAAAAGACCTTTGAAAACAGGCTGTTTTTGGGGCCTATTGTAAGAAATAATGTCATATTTCTCTTTTCTATTGGAAGAAATAATGTCATATTTCTCTTTTCTATCTGAAGAAATAATGTCATATTTCTCTTTTCTATTGGAAGAAATAATGCCATATTTCTCTTTTCTATTGGAAGAAATTGTTATATTTCTCTTTTCTATTGGAAGAAATTATGTCATATTTCTCTTTTCTATTGGATGAAATAATGCCATATTTCTCTTTTCTATTGGAAGAAATAATGTCATATTTCTCTTTTCTATTGGAAAAATAATGCCATATTTCTCTTTTTTATTGGAAGAAATAATGTCATATTTCTCTTTTCTATTGGAAGAAATAATGTCATATTTCTCTTTTCTACACACGTATGCATAATTTTCCCCCTTTTTTCAAGAAGTAGTTGTCAGTTTGAATAAGAAAATCACAGCTCAGTTATGTGTGGAAAAGGTAAAAAGGAAAAATCCCAAAGGCTTTCAGAATCAGAATAAGGTTTATTGCCAAGTAGGTTTTTAGACTTACAAGGAATTTGCCTTGGTGTTTGGTGAACAACACTTCTATGAGAAGCAAGGAAGGAAATAAAATGTAGAAATAAAAATATAGAACAGAAATTATAAAACTAAAAATACAATCTTTAAAACTATAGATCTGAATGTATTATTTACAATAATTGCAGTATTGAAAGTAAAAATCGTTGCAATTGTGTGCAAGAGGCAGTTTTCTGTGCCAGAAAAAATATTCTGTGAATCTTATGCTCCATGAAGGTCCATTTGTATCCTAAAAGTGGCATAAATATTCATAAAACCCCAATAATTCATGAGGAATTATGACATTTAGTTTGTCAATAAAGGATGAAGAGGGACACAATTCCTGAAAATAACAAGGAATTCTGTGGAAGTTAATCTAAAAACGGTCAGATGAAAAGGACTTGCTTCATTATTTTTAAACCTGCAGGAATCAACACCAACAATAACCTGTAATATTTCAAATTAAAGTGTCAGAAATACAGTTCCCACCTTTGGATACGGGAGTGAAATTTTCAAACCAGAACAATTATTGGATGGATTGTGGGAAAATCAGGTTCATGAATAAAATAAAACTTTCTAACAGCCTGTCATTATCATTATATTTGGTTTATGAGCAAGAAGGATAGTTAGGTTATGTAGAAAAGTAAAACAGTGCCTATTTTCTAGGATCAGTCTGATTAATATTAAGGTAAAAAAAAGTGTTCAGAACAATCATTTATGCTCTTTGTGGACATTTATTTTGGCATAACGGTGAGTTATAACAGCATCCTCATAATATGTTTAGTTTAAGAAGAGAATCTTTTTTTTAAACGGGATTTGAGCCTCCCCAGAGGAAAAGTTTAGTCCGTTTCTTGGAAGCAGATTGTGCATTTTGTGCATTGTTTTCTAAACATGGCATCATGATGATGTTAAATGTGCATAACGGACAGCAACAAAATAAACCCATTTCAGACTTTTCTTTGACAGATTTCACAGTTCTTCAGATTTCTGTGTTCTACGTGTGTGTATAGGGAGAATAAGAATCTCCAAGACATCGATATAATTCAGTTTTATTCATTGAAATTATCAAAAAAGAATCAAAAGAATCCAGATATGAAATCGTATAAACATTATACATTGTTTTAAAAATCACAAGCTGAAAGAATATAAACATTTTCTCTCTTCATGTGACTTAAAACATCTCAAATGAAACACATTTAATTACTATAAATGGTGTATTTCATTCTAACATTAGCTGATTAAATTAAGATCAGATTTTAAAACCCTACACTTAAAGCTCTGCCAGGTGTGTGGTGGATGTGAGCAGTCAGGTGATAACAAGCTCTTTGTAAAGCTGTTCGGGGTGATCTTCGACGTATTTCTTTATGTACCAGCAGGAAATGCGTGCCTTCAACTTCTCCTCCACCAAAAAGTCCATGGCGGCCTAAAAAAATGAGCACAGACAGCTTTAAATACTGACTCTCCCAGTGTGACTCTGCTCAGATCAGACCTGTGGGACTCCAACCTGGGAGAGCAGGGCTGCAACACCTTGGCCTCGAAATGTTTCCGGAACAAAGGTGGACATCAGGTCCACCTCCTTTTCTGCGGTGAATCTGTAGAGCAGCACGGCCTGCTCCTGGACCCCTGCGGACAGAGACCCAAGGGGCTTCAAGCTGCACTCAGTATGACCGGGATCCTAAAGAGGATTACAGTCTGTGGAGGTTTACAGATGTGCACAGCTGTTTTCAGAAAGACAGTTGCTGACCAGGCCTTTCTTTGAACACAAAATGATTTAATGCACTAACTCAGAGCTAGAGTTACACCTTATTCAGTTTGATAAACAAATTAACCATGAACAACACCAAACAAACAAACAAAACTCCAGCCTTTCAAATCTACTACTATTGGAATAAAATTTGGCAAAAATCTATTAAATTGGCCTTAACTACTAATCCTAAACATGACGAATTGTAAACTGAGTTGACGTAGTCCGTATAAAATAAATATTAAAGACAAAAGTTACTGAACAGCTGCTCACAGCCAAGGGCACCTTTAAAATCTTTTATTTTTCTATTAAGTTTGGTTGTGCATTTTTTCTCAAGATAGAATAATACTCTCGATTTTTTATTAGAATAGAAAAATACAGGTAAAACAAATCTAGAAATGTCTTAATAAATAGATCGCGAAATGAGCTATTTTCAACAGGCCCCGGTTACACACCGGGCTCCCCTACAGAATCTACCCGGAAATAGAGCCTCGGTCCCGGCTGTGATCTCACCGGAGCCCGCTCCTGGAGCCACGGTGAAGCGCCGGTTCGTCCGGTCATGTTCCACCGTCAAACCTCCGTCACAGCTCCGGGCTCGGAGGTTGGTCTGGCCGGACCTGATCTGGCAAGTTAACCCACAGAGTCTGGAAGTCATTTTAGAGGCCATTTCTTCCAACAGAAACAGAGCTCCGCTGCCTGTGGACGCGCTGTCGTTCTCCACCGTGACCACCAGGGGGCGCCAAATATTTACAATATATTTATGAAAGACCTTTAATAAGTAAACCAATTATTTGAGTAAACTTTTGGGATGATTTAAAAATTTTTTGTAAAGACATCATTGTAAATTATGTGTAGAGGTTCAACAACAACAAACAAAACAAAGTTTAAAAAAGGAAAAAATAACATGTTTACTGTTGTGTAATATTTACCTAGCTCCATTTTTGAAGGTTTGTTTTCTTAGTAACCACTCAAACTAAAATTGATTATTTTATCCTAATTATTCAGATTAGTTGATATGAATGAAAGCAACTCATTTAGCTACTTTTAAAACATTTTGCTTGAGGATTTTATGCAGTATAAAACTCCGGGGACAATGTTTATAAAGAGTTTGGATAATAATATTCTTTAATATTGCAACACATGCAGAGAAGCTGATTAATAATATAAAAGTAAGCATTTTGGAAAAAAGCCTGGGATTCCAACAAAGTTACTGGCATCACATTTGCATCCAAAAACCAAAAAGTAAACGAGGCCAAATGTTTAATTCACACAGTCGTTTCATATAGTTTATTCAAAACAGTTTTTGTAATTGAATCTGTAATCATACAAAAGACATTTCAGAATTTTGTAACTAAACTACAGTTTTTTACAGGCACATTTTATGGTATTTCAAACTGCAGACTCCACATGAAACAGTCGGATGTTCTGCATTGATTCGTCTCGTCCATCGTGGCTCCGTTGCCATGGCAGCAATTCACATCTTCTCAGAGGCGGCAGAGCTCTTCACTCCCGCGGCCATGATGGCGAAGAAGACGTTGGGGAAAAAGGACCTGGCGTAGATGGCCATCTTGGGGAGCGACGGGGCAATGAGCACCTCTCTCCTCTTGTTGTTCAGCGTCCTGACGATTTCCGCCGTGGCCTCGTCCGGAGAAACGCCGAGCGGCTTCCGGGTGTACAACACTGCAAATAAAAGAGACGAATGTAGCCAAGTTTTAAAAGTCTGTGCTCATCATTAGTTCCCATGTTGTCCTGAGCTTCTTGAACAAGCTTTTTAAGAGGGTCCAGAGACGTTTGTTTAGCAAAATGAGCTGGTTGTCTGAAGGGATGCCGCAGAAATCTGCAAGTTTATATGACTGTCAGACACCTGGTCAAACCAAAAGGAACTTTTTGGGGGGTAAACACAGATCATTGGGTTACCAAGAGAGATTTCAAGCTCATTTATTTCTCTCTTATCAGTCACTGTACTAAGCTAAAATTGTATAAGTAACTCTGGAATAGCTCGGAATAAAATCAAAAGTGACTTTATAGATATTAGTTCAGCGTAAACTGTCATTTTCTTTAGATGTTACTGAGAAAATGGAATATATATATAGGCAGTGATTTATGCAAAGATGTTCACACATAAATGTAAATACATCTAATGATCCAGTATTGAAATCAAATATTCAGAAATTTAGCAAAAATGAAAATAAATTTTTGGTTTTCCCTCCAAGTAATCAGCTAAAAATGGAAATGGAAGAGGAGGAGGAGGACGAGGAAGAGGAGAAGAAAATGGAAGAGAAGGAGGAAGAGGGGGGGGAGGAGGAGGAGGAAGACGAGGAAGAGGAGAAGGAGGAGGAGGAGGAAGAAGAAGACGAGGAAGAGGAGGAGGAGGAGGAAGAGGAGGAGGAGGAGTCACTCACGTGACCAGAGGGATTTGGGGGCGGAGCCTCCGGCGGCCGCGCGGCTGATGAAGGTGTGGCTGATGGTGCTGACAGAGATCCCGTATTCTTCCACCTCGGCTCTCAGCGAATCAAAGAAGGCCTGGACGGCGTGTTTGGAGGCTGCGTCTAAAAAAGAGAAGTTAATCTGAGCTGATTCTCTTCCCCCAAAGCAAACGTCCTCACTTTTAATACTTAATTTACCAGTTTGACTGATCTGACTGAACATCTCCCACCTATTTAATTTTAAAACCTGTGGTTTCATCCTCATGTTGCTAGGTTACACGTAGATTTCTAAAACTAACAAGGTGAAACATCATGACTCGCCTTAAAGGAGACATATTATACCCCATTTCAACAAGTTAACCTAGTTCCCTGGTGTCCTAATGTGATGTCTATGACAAGCTTTGGTCAAAATCCCATAAGGATGAAGCCCAATAGCAGTTCAGTCCCCCTGCCTAACCCTAACCCTAACCCTAACCCTAACCCAAAACAGCCCCGTTCAGAGCGCTCGCTTTGGAGTGCCTGTCTCTTTAAATGCAAATGAGACACAGGCAATCCACCCACTTCTTCAGGGAGGTGTGCCCACGTCGGCACGCTAACGCTACCATGCTAACGCTACCATGCTAACGCTACCATGCTAACGCTCACGCTACCTCAAATATTATAATGAGCTAGAGCTAATGACGTCAGAAACCACCCACTCCTGAAACCTCCTGATTTATCTCCTGGATTCAGACTGAGGCGGCCCACAAAAACATGACCGAGTCATTTTTTTTCACACTTTGCCTGCTGATAGGCCGTCCACAGTCCCAAATGTAAACAATCAAATGATTAAAAACTTGGTTTTGCATAATGTCCCCTTTAAAATAGACCCTGTCATCGTTTCTCACATCGTTTCTAATTTATCGCCTATTATCCAAACCACTTTCCAGTCCTTAGACAGACCAAAATGAAGCTTTTTGCCGACCCAAAGAAAGAGAAGAGTCATTTCGGTTCCCCCTCCAGTGTCTGAACTCACATGTTGTGCGAAAAGGCACGGCTATCTTCCCCTGGATGCTGTTCACCAGGACCAGGTGTCCGCTTCTCCTGGAGATCATGGAGGGCAGCACCCCTGAAAAATAGAGAGAGAGCCACTTCGTCACATCCTGCCCATCGGAGAAAACTCCGCCCTCCCCCATCCCGGGAAAGGGAATTAAATTAATTATTTTATTTAGTTCATTTTTTTTGCCAACTCCAGGCCCAACGCACAATTACAGCACATTTTTTTGTACAGAATGTTGCAGAGAAAAAACAGAATGGAAAAAAAAATGGTCGCTACTGCTAAAGAAAGAGCAGATTTGTTTACAAGGAGAAGGGGAACAACAGAAAATTCTGCCACCTTTGGCCAGCGTGACGGGCCCAAAGTAGTTGTTGTCCATCAGGAGTTTGTCCACCTCCAGAGACAGGCTCTGGGCGGGGGCTCTGGCCTTCATGCTGCTGTTGAAGATGAGCACGTCCAGACAGCCGTAGCAGTCCAGGATCTCTGCGATGGCCTCGGGCATGCTGTCCAGATCCCCAAAGTCCAGCAGGACCAGCTTAGGGGGGAAAGTCTGAGAGGAAAGAACACAGTCAAAGCAGAAAAAGAGGTCTAAAAATCTGTCTTTGGGGTTCGATTCCGCCCTGATATCCCTTCAACAAAGATCCTCATCTGAATTCTAGCATCCTTCTGTAAGGATTTGGCTAAAAAATACTCACTTTAGCATAGCATGCTATCACATGATCTATGTAGATTACTGATTGTTTTATTTTCTTTTATAGCTATATTTTGTGTTGACGTCTCTGGTTGTGCCCATAGACTCTTTCCTCTCCCCTTTCCTTTCTCTCTTTTCTTTCTCTGTTGCATTAGATACACGTCTTTAAGTCAACACAAACACACATCATTTGGTACCATATTCCAACGTCATCAACATGAATTAGGACCCGGCTTGTTAGTCTTAGAGGTAACTAATCAATAGGAGTTGGTTGTATCCAGTCCTCCTTTTGAGGGGTGTGCCCAGGTCAGGAGATAATGCCCATATCTCAGGGCTCTTTGCCCGCTGAAATACTCTACCTGTGACCCAATAAATGTCAATTTTTTACTGTTGATCTACTGTGGCTTATTCTCAGGATTCCAATGAAAGAATCGGATTAACACTTCCATCACCTTCCGGTCCATTTCTGAAGTAGATTTCAATCTTATTGAAGAGTTTCAGGGTTTTTTATGAAATTCTGCTTCTTTATTTTCCCCAAGTGTAGCACTCAGATAAAAAAGTCCAGACTCAAAAGTAGAGGAGAATCCTTTTTCTGTCCCAATCTCTGGAGCAACTTACCAGAAGAATAAAAACAGCTCAGAATAACTCTACTTTTGTTCTTTCTGGCCTTAAACTGATGTTGAAGCGGATGTTTTAAGTCCCTTTGGTGTGACGATATGCCATTTTATTTGGACTTTGGTTACAATCGGTTGTTTTTAAATTTGGTAAATAAGTTAACCTGTAGTTAATTATTATTGTGATTAAGAGCAGAGATGCGGTTATACTTTGATAAATGGCTGCCATGACAGAATGATTGAAACAGGACCTCTAACAATAACCTTTGTCATCTTTTTTCATATTTACTGACATTAATAAATGAATAGATTAACACTTTAACACCATGTGATTCTGTTTATTTGACACTTACTGCTGTTGGATCGGAGACGTTTGCCAACTCATCTGCCAGCTCCTCCAGCTTCTCCCAGCTTTTCCCACAGAGGATGAGTCTGGCTCCTCCCTTGTGAAAGACGCCGGAGCATTCTGCAAACAGGCCCCAGAGCTGAGAGGTCACCAAACCTGCTCCAGTTTCCCCAAAAAACCACGCCGGCTCACCTTTCCCCAGCCCAGACAGGGCGTCCGTTACCACCACCACCTTGTTGCGTACAGAGGTTTTGGACACCAGATTGACGATGGCTCCGTAGAGGTAGAAAAATCCTGCTGTCAGAACAACTACACAGGGCACCAGGAGGACAGTCGTCCATGTTGGGTCCATGTTCTGCCAAGAAATATGCCAAAAAATCGTTAGACTATTTGCAGTTAAGCAAGTAAGAGACTCAGGCCAGGCATGTTTGATGATGTATGTAAAAAATATCAAACAAAAAATGATCCAAACCAACATTTCACAGATGGAAGCTTAGCATTAGCTTAGCATTAGCATTAGCATTAGCATTAGCATTAGCATAGCATAGAATAGCTTAGCTTAGATCAAGTGGCAGAGTTAAATTGGCTAAAATCAATTCACAAGCATACTTAAAGCTCACAAATCAAAATGTTTTTTAGCTTTTACAAAATCTATAAAAACAGATTACGTTTTAAGGTATAGGTAAAATTTGTTACTGTTTCTTGACTTTGGGTAAAGCTAAACAGGGAGCAGAAAAACTAAACCATTCATTAAAAAAAAACACTTTAAAAATGTCCGTGTTTAAGTTATCATCATGGAAGTTGTGGTTAGTCGACAGATTCTTGAGTTAAAGTATGTTTCGGGTGGTAAACATACTTTGTGGAGAGAAAATTAAGTTGATTTTGGAGATGCAGATGGATGAGATGGGATGTAAAAACTATTTGTTTCTACTTAATAAATGTCTCATACCCACAGGCTCTCCGGCTCTGTTTCATTGGTATCCATCTTATCCCCTACAACCTTGTTCTATCTAACTATGACTTCTTATTATTCTGAAACAAAGACGGAGAAGGAAATTCAAAAGTTAAATAAAGAGCGAATGGCACTTGAATTATGTGTACCTTCATGTTTATATACTCAGTGTTTGGATACTACAGCTTCCTGGGAAATGATCAGGACACAAACTTATTAAAAATAAATTAATAAATAAAGACACAAGCTCAAAAAGCAAAACTACAGAAAAACTAACAAGCAAACCGCAAAATCAAAATTGTGACGAAGAAATCTGCCAGAAAATTACTAATAAATAAATGGACCAAAAAACAATACAAAAGACCACAAATATACAGCAAAAGACTAAAAATGCATAAAAAGCGCAAAAACATCTTCATATACATTTTTAATGAATGAAGAAATATCTGCCAGACCCAAAATTATCTCATAGAAATGAAAGTGTTGCAAAAATAATACAAAAATACATCAAACAGATAGACTGAACATTTATGATAAATAGATAAATAACATGATAAAACCATAAATAAATCTTAAGATAATGGAAAATATAATAAAGACAGAAATGTTTTTAAAGTAAAACTAGTACAAAGTTTATTTTGGGCTTCGGGTGGTGCTGATAAACCACAAGACCTTTCGGCTGAGTTCATGTTCGGTCAATCCACCAACATCATTGTTTTTATCCTGACTGTGCCAGCTTTCTGTCATTCGAGTGTAAAAACCAGCACTCATACACAGCGCCAAGTGAGAGATAACCTTTTGGTTTAGGTTTACCATGCCAAGCACTGGCTGTTTGTCCAAGAAGAGGCTTCTAAATATAAACCACCACTAAAATAGAGGCAGCGGCTCTCAATGACACAGTGTCATTTTTAACAAGAACCGGCAGATTAAACAGAACAGATATTTAAAAAAGAGCCACATTTAAGCGGAACGTCGTGATAAATTAATCATCAGGCACCACTTACTGCTTCCCAGGCCTCTGCAGGTAGTGTGCTGTAATTCCTCTCCTGAGGAGAAGTGGCTGCACGCCTCAGCAGAGCTGCTGCGACATGACAGCCAGCCAGCTCTCAGCAGCAATACTTTAGGATTTGAGGTCTTTTAATAGCAGCACAGCTGAGTCGGTTATTTTCCATGTGTGTTGTCAAGGAGGTATGTATAGCCTGACAAACCGGGACTAAGAGGAGAGGGGCTTAATTCAAACACAACGTTCTTCTATGTCCACATGTAGAATATTCCTATAAGTGAATGCAAGTGTCCATTTGAAATTATAATAGTTTTAAATATCAAAAATGGCAATGTGATAAACACGTATTGTTCATAAATTGGAGAAACATGGCACTAAATCCAGTTAAAGGTTTTATATTGCCACGGATGTTTTTAAACAAATACTTCACACATATTGGAGATGGGACTTGAGACACAAACTTTCTGTTGTCGATGAAGACTTGTTTTGTGCTAAGCGGCAGACAGTAATGACAATATTCCTCCAATTTTCAAGCATGCTCTTTATTCTGATTTAAAATTATATATTTAGTTTAGTTAATGTTTTGTAACCAAGTTTCTTCTTTATTGTTATTATGTTTTTTCACAATAACAATAAAGAAGAAAAAAAAACGGGGAAAAAAACTTGGCTACAAAACATTAAAAAAAAAAATTCTCTTTTATTATGAAGAACCAAGCGGAAGTGGTTTGTTCGTTTTGACCGGGTGAAGGTTTTACTGTGAAGGGCTGACCGGATGTGGAATGTTGGTTTTGACGGCGGTTGGTTTTCACTGACATAGCTGACAGTTCGCATCATCCTTCCCGGACCGGACTCCTCAGAGCCGCTGGAAAAGAAAAAAAAAACAAAAAAAAAACACGGCCGTGATTCCGATATAATGTCTGATTTCGAAGAGTTTGAGAAGCAGCTGAGCGAGAACCGACAAGGTGAGTGTCCGTCCGCTACCTGTCTGTGCCCCGGTTCGGTGCGCAAGCTAGCAGGCGACCGTTGGTGTGAAACCGTTAGCCCGTGAAACGGTTTTTTTTTAATGAATGGATAACCCCAACGTGACGGGACGCTTTCTCTGGCCGTGACTCAGCGTGTTTACCCGGTCTGTGTTGACGTGTTTGACAGCTCTGGAGGAGGGCGGGAAACCGGCGTGTTTCCGTTCAGCCGCGCGAGACGGCAGGATGCGAAATCTCCTCGTGACGATGTCTCGTTATCAATGGACATGTCATCGATCACCTCACTTTGTGACCTCATCAAATAAAGCCACGCATTGGATTATTAAAACAGAGGCGATTTAAAAAAAAAGAAAAAAAAGAAAGCTGTTATTTATATGTGTTTTACAAAAACGATCGCGTCCAACTATTTTAATATTTGCCATCATTATAACTAACTAACTAACTAAAAAAAAAAAAAAAAATACACTTAGATTTACAAAAACTATTCGAGCAAGTTTGCTTCAACCCTCAATACATAGATCTGTGACACCTATTGCTTCCTAAAATAGTAGTAGTAATACTGGGAGTATAGAATGATTCATTTTTATACAAAATGTTCAGAAAATCTGAAAATTTTGAGGTTATTCGTTTTTAAATAATTTAGTTAGTACTTAAGAAAATCAACATTTGTATCCTGGGTTAAACATTGGAAAATAAATAGATACATTATATATATATATGTATAAATGGATATATATGAATACTAAGGACCTGTTTGTGTAATTGTTTGTGTTGTTGGTCTTTGTGTGGCCCGTTGAATTTGACTCATATCAATTATTAAAACCCTCTGATTTGGGGGAGGAAACACATGGACTGCTGACCTGTCCAGGGTACCCCGCCTCCCACCCCGGGACATCTGGGACTGGCTCCAGACCCACTCTAGGAATTACCCACATACATTTATGCAACATCCAAAGTGACGTCACAGGACATGGCTTACAGACACGTGCACAGTTTGTGCCATGTTGGTTATGAAGAAATAAAAAAATAGAAGTAAGCCATATTCAACAACAAGCTCACAGAACAAATCCAGACTAAATAGATGTGATTTGATGATTACAATATACTTACAGTGTCCAGTAATTGAAAGGACATAAAGCTCATGATAGAGATAATATTTAACAGGTAAGGAGTAACATGTATCATACAAAATGCAAAAAAAAACACCTGAAAGTTTTCTGTGGGGGAATTCTATATATCTATGATCATTTTCTTTTCTATTCTATTTCTTTTCTATTTTATTCTCTCTGGTAACTTTCCACAAGTGAATATGTTAAAGGTTCTTTTTCTTTCTCATTGGACTCATTCCTCCTTCTAGGTCTCAGAGAGGGTCTCCTCAAACTTCGTTTGTTTGGTACAGGTGCAGGTTACTCTATGATGGGACATGGATTTTACCCCCCTTCTCAAGCTCAGAGAGGGTTTTAAAATGTACTATGATTTTGTTTTACTTTGGAGCAGCTTAAAACGTTGCATGGCACGTGCTGGTTGCTCTCACTTCATGAAGTTTTCCCTTTAATACATTTTCTATCTCTTACTCTCTTAAACGAACTCAGACTCTTGCTTCAGAATTTTCACAACAGTCCAAATAAACCCAAGTTTTCCCCCTCCTTTTTTAAATTAAATCATCATGTTGCTTTCAGGGCATCCCTGTACTGGTTCATAACCTTTTGTCACACGTCCAGATGTGGAGCCGCCCCACATCTCTCTGTCTGACCTTTCCTTTTGTCTCAGAGCGGGAGCGGGAGCGGCACAAAAAGCGGAGTCGCAGCGGCTCGCCGCCCGCCCGCGCAGACAAGCACCGCAGCCGGGAGAAACGCAGCCGCAGCCGGGACCGGAAGAGCCGGGACCGCCGCAGCTGCTCCCGGGACCACAAGAAGCACAGGTGACCAGCGGGGGTCCGGCGGGGCCTCTCAGGCCTCCATTAGATGGAATTACCCTCACAAATTCAATTAAATTCAATTCAATTTTATTTATATAGCGCCACATCACAACAACAGGTGTTTCACAGCGCTTTCCAAACAGAGCAGGTCAGACCCTACTCTGAAGTTAAATACAGAAACCCAACAATTCCCAAATATCCTCACACTGGGGAATTTCTGAGAAGGAGAGTTTTGATCTAATAGATTTTTTTGGTGAAACTGTGAAATGTCACTGTTGTAGCAGCAGGTAAACATGAAAAAAGAAAAAAAAATTCAAGTTTTTTAGAAAATTCCCAAACAAATAGTTACCATAATATGCTGCTATTGATTTAAAAGATGTCAGAAAGCTATGAGAAGACACGTCTTGTTTCTGGAAGCAGCCTGAAGTCCTCAGATTATTTGTTTAGTGTGAGAAAGCAAAGACAAACAGCAGATCATCACAGCTCCTCTGAGTTGTTATTCTGGTCTTTTTTAAAGCAGTTTAATTTCGCGGCGGCAGTTTCAAAGGTTGGTTTAAATGATAACTTGGGTCACGTAGCCATAGCAACAAAAAGGGGTGAGTGGCTCAGAAGTTTGTCTCTTCTCTGCCTGAAGCCGCTCTCCCAGGCGCACCAGGAAGAAACGGACCTGCAAGTACTGGGACGTTCCTCCGCCCGGCTTTGAGCACATCACACCGATGCAGTACAAAGCTATGCAAGGTACCGGCCTCCTTCAGACCTCCTCCCATTAGACCTCCTCTCCACCAGGCCTCCTATCAGACCTCCTCCCATCAGACCTCCTCCCTTCAGACCTCCTCCCATCAGACCTCCTCCCACCAGACCTCCTCCCACCAGACCTCCTCCCATCAGACCTCCTCAGTGTCAGACTTTCTCCTATCAGACCTCCTCCCATCAGACCTCCTCCCATCAGACCTCCTAACTGTCAGAACTCCTGCTATCAGACCTCCTCCCTGTCTGACCTCCTCCCATCAGACCTCCTCCCATCAGACCTCATCCTATCTGACCTCCTCCCGACAAACCTCCTCAGTGTCTGACCTCCTCCCATCAGACCTTCTAACCATCAGACCTCCTCCCATCAGACCTCCTCCCATCAGACCTCCCATCAGACCTCCTCCCATCAGACCTCCCATCAGACCTCCCATCAGACCTCCTAACTGTCAGACCTCCTTCAAACCTCCTCTCTACCAGGCCTCCTTCGGACCTCCTAACTGTCAGACCTCCCATCGGACCTCCTCCTCCCTGCCTCCTTTACAGTTCTCTCTCTTCCTCCCGTTCCTCAGCGGCCGGTCAGATCCCGACGATAGCCCTGCTGGCCTCGTCCACCACCACCGGAGTGGCCGCCGCCCCGACCCAAGTGCCCATCGTGGGGAGTCAGATGACCAGACAAGCCCGACGCCTCTACGTGGGAAACATCCCCTTTGGGGTCACCGAGGTGAACATGGAGGCGAGCAGGGATGGGGATCGTTAATATTTATCGATATCGTTAATATTTATCGATATAGATACCTTTATCGATACTCCTTATCGATCCGAGTCTTTATCGATCCGAGTCTTTATCGATACTTTTCTGTTATTTGGTGGAAAGACGATGCGACAATATTTAGCAAATAAATAATTGTATTTTAAATTAAATGTAATTTTTAATAAATGTTGGCGTCAGTAGTTTAATTATATATTCTAAAATAATTAGAGAAATATACAACTGTATTACTCATGTTTCTCGCCAAAAACTCAATTTCCCTTTTCCTAACGTCACAGTTGAACACATCACGATAACCTAATTGTCGTTTTACTGAGCCAATCTGAACACGTCTGAAACTTTATTTACTTTTCAAGCTAACTAGCTTGTATGCTGCCGATTACAACACGGATTTCACAATTACTATTGTAATAATAAAAAAAAAACGACCAGACTCGATAGTGGTATCGATAAGCCCAAACAGTATTGATTTTCGCTCAGGCTGCTGCCTCCGGTCACTCTGAGGGTCTCCGTCTGTGCAGGAGTCCATGGCAGAGTTTTTCAACGCCCAGATGCGCCTGGCCGGCCTCTCACAGGCCCCGAGCAACCCCGTCCTCGCCGTGCAGATCAACCAGGACAAGAACTTTGCTTTCCTAGAGGTGTGTGTTTTTAATATCCCACCACGTTCAAATAGAAAAGTCAGAATCTCCGTGGAGATCAAAGGTCAAAGGGGGAAGTCTGGTGCTTTGATCAGGTTTTAAAACATGGTCGGAGATGTTTTTCAGGGATCTTTGATGAACTCCAGCTTCATCAGAGCTCCTGCTGCAGCATTTTGG